CTGATCTTCTAGGCACTAGTTCTCAAATTCGTTTACAACCCTTAAAAATCTAGTACTAGATCACAATAGTAACAGAATATTTTATAAACAATATAAACTTTCTGATATTAATCACTTCAGCTTTTCTACTAGTCACTTTCTTTTAAAATCGAAGTCATAGCTTATAACTACTATTGAGAACCAAATAATAGTAGATAAAGCAAGAAGACAGATTACTCCACCTGGTCTTGTTTTTATTACATACTAGCAATACTCTTTTTTACTACAATTTACCAAATTATACCCAACTCAACCTATTAACTTTAATATGTCCTGGCTGTTCTCACAATTCTAATCTTATTGCCAATGATATACAATATTTATTTCTATTAATTTAGCATCTAGATTTTTCTGCACTTATAACCCTTAAGAAAAAACTATTAAACCTTATACTAATATTTAGATTTAATATATTCTATTGCAATTCATTATCCTCTTCATATTCCATCTTCTCCCAATATCTTTTACAACTCTGCTTTAATTTTATCTATATTTGAATCTGGATCTCTTACTAATATACTTCAAACTATTGCCAACTCTAATATTTAACTTTCTGAAATTACTTTTTATACAGATGGCTTTATCTTAGTCTTTGGTATACAAGATTGCTCTATAGGTATTGAATGGGTACAAATCTATCAGAACAATATATTACATAAATTTTAAGCACAAATCAGATACTGGCTATACTCTTTTAAAGCAGAACTTGTTGCTATATTGTCAGCAATTAGCACTGCACCTAGATTTTGTATTATTTATATTTTTACAAACTTTCAATTTGTTATTTCCAAATATAATAGTCTTCAAAATTCACCACACTCTCTTTCTATTATGAACACTCCATACTTGATATTGTAGCATATCTTTTTTAATTTTACTCAATTATACAACCACCAAATTATTTTTTACAAAGTCACTGCACATAAGAGAATCGATTCAATAATCTTGCTGACCAATTAGCTCATAGCCACCTTACCTCAGATTTTCTTACTTTTAAACCTTATAATATCTATAATCTCAACTATTCTCTTTAATTAGATAAACATCCTTTAGAGTTACCAACTTGATATATTATTCGTACTATATATTATTTATATATCTATGCTCTGTAGTCATCTTAGTACAGATTTTAACAGTATTCTCAAATCACTACTCATATCAACTGGCTTGCTACTTGGCATTATATTAATAACAACCAAAAAATTTCAAATTTTTCACATAGCTTTCAATCTTCTACTCTTAAATTATTTTGAGTTAAAATTCTTCTCGATGAGTTATCTACTCCCTATATATTGTATAAACGCAATTATTATATCACACCCAACTGTTATCAATGTAATCAAATTAGTACACCACTACATTGGGTCACTTGCCCATTATCTACACTATTGTACAACCTTATCAATAACTCTATACAACAGGTTATCAACTTAGCATCATTGGATGTCTCATCTGAATTAATTTTTACAATTTATAATCAAATCAAATATCTTGATAGTATGATATTTCATTATAATCAACGTACTCTATCTATTAACTCTACTTTGTCTGGGCTAGTTTCTCTTGATATTATAAATCTACTCAAGGATATTACTTTATCTGCTACATTAGCATTAACTATTACTATTAAATTTCTTTTATATCTTAATTCATAAATTTATCACAATATCTGGATACCTTATTGTATTTCTTATTCTTTAATTTAATCTTCTAATAATACTATATCTTCTCTACTAGTTTCATCTCTTTCTACCTCTCAGTCTTCTTAACCTCTACTACTTACTACAGCTAGTGCTAAAATTGTATTATGGTATTCTTTATAGATAAATATCAAACAAATTTAAACTATATAATTACTAATCTACAAATCTAGGTGAGCTATAGCCACTCTAGTTGGTTTAGGCTACAGATAAATTAGTCTGAGTTTCTTTTCTTGTTATCTTAGGATATAAAATTTAAATAGATTTTTTTCTTTATAAGGATTTTCTTTTCATTATAGAAAAATTAAATTAAATTTTAATAAAGTCAGAAACATGGTCTCACCATTAATATTCAAAAAAAAATATTATAAGAATAATATAATATGAATAATTAATTAAATATCTTCTCTTAGAAATTGTATGAACCTTTTGCTTATTATAGGTTTGTGTGCTAAACAATTTGAAAGTAAAAAAAATTGATTAGAAAAAAATAGTAAATTGATTATAATATTCACAACAAAATAACTTGTTTTTCTAAACAGTTCAATATTCTTATACATATAAAGAGTGTAAATTTTATTTATAGTTTCAAGTTCTTGGACCAGACCAGTCAAATTTTAGCTGTTTGGTTAAAATACTATAAGAAAATAGACCATAGATAATATACAATGCTTTCAACTTTGCATTATGATAGATATCTTTTTTTAGATATTTTTTTGCTTAATAAGGAAACAAATCTGTTAGATTAGAACAAAAATAGCAAAACTGTATTTCACCAAATCAAGATCACTATACTAGGAGGTTAATAATACTATAATAATAGACAAAATTACTGACCAATCATGAGTCATAAATTGTCATGGGTTTATTAACAGATCTCAATCAATAAATGGATTGTTAACCATGCTTGCAATAATGCAAGCTGAACTTTTGTAAATCTAGTACTTTGTATATAGCATAATGAAAATTATATAAAATTTAATTTTCTGAAAATTATATTTATAGCTGTTTTCATAAATTCTGGAATACTTGAAGATTTATCAATGACTGGTAACTTATTTGATTCAGAATCGGTAACTAATCGATTCAGTTATCAGAAAATATTCAGCTATTCCAGAATTTATGAAATAGAGTAATATAAACTTGTACCGTATGTAACTCAACCCTACCAAAGACCAGATCGATAAGTTTTTGACTTCGGTCTATGTCAGTAACTTAATGAATCTAGCATAATTACTAAGATCTAGTGATTGTACCCTAAGGTATTGTAACCGGTTAACCACCAGGTTACCCAGATAGCCGGATAATAAAATTGGTTAACGGATAAATAATTAAGATATCCGGTTAACCCAAGGAGATAACTTAAGATAAAACAGGGTAAAATATAATTATTTATCTGCATCAGATTAAAACAATCATAATTCTGCTCAAGGTAGGACCATTAATGTTACACATCTATTCCCACACATGATGTGATCAATTAATTATAAATTATTTATGTTGAGTTCAATTTTATAATATATGTTACAGATATAATCTCTCACTGGTTAAACTATATGTGTAATATTAACGGTCCCTCCTGTATAATCCTGCTTATATAGGCGCCCAACCTAATCCTAATAAAACTAAATCTGATGCATGATACATATGGATTATTAATTTTTAATTGGTATATCGTTTACGTACTAATGTGTTTTAGAATTGCTTCGTCTATAAGTTTTCGATAAAATGCCGATATGGCATTAAAATGTTTATATTTATAAATGATTGCTTGTCAGTATTATTGCAGATCAGGTTTCGCAGATCACTAATTTAGCCCTTTAGCCTTTTATGTAATATAATTAAAGCATAAGGTAGCTGCACGATGCTGTCACGCAAAACCAGAAACGTAAGCCTACCGAATTATTCGAATAGATTATTTAGTGATGAATAAATTTTTTTCTCGTTTTACTAAACGTATAGAAATTTATACATCAGAGCTTTAATTTATATAATAAGAAATTGAATTTTTTTACTATATTAGTATTAGGGGTTTTAATTATCTATATTTAGATTTCTATTTATTTTAATTAAATATCGCAAAAGATCGATGACCTGATTAAAGATAATAAACAAGTTGTTAATAAATTTAATAAATCGACTATTTATTCCCACAATATATGATAGGGTTTTTAATTTTTCTAAGCTGTGATTAAATTTATTACTAATTATCTTGTTTCTATACCGTCAACATAAAATCGATCATTTTGTGTGAAACAGCTATTGTAAACAATTTTACTTGTTACCTATTTCAAGTAAACGCCCATTTTTTAGACTGTGAGTAATTGTAATAAGTCGATATATTAATTATAATGCCGTGTGAAGATTCTTGACTAAGTATCGTGCTTTCAAAAAAAGAGCACATGATATGTATTTAAAGATCGATCTAATTAATAAAAACTACGTAACCGGTGCATAGCCGTAACTTTTTTTAGAATAAATCTCTCAATTTCATAAAATCGACCAGATTTGAATGCACTCTAATAATCATATGATATTCTTAAATTGCTGAAAATGGCAAGGTGTAACAGATAGATTTAGATCTAAAAACTACTTATATGTATAACTACAAGAAATTAACCAAAAAAGCAACATAAGGATTTATCTTGCGTTTAAACCTGATAGATTCATGTAATATTTTATAATATAATTAATAAGCGTATTTGATATTGTATTCTTTTATATTAACATAATTATAGTAGCATATCAATTCAAATGTATAGTTATTACGTTCACTTAACACCATTACAGGATGTTAAATCGATTCGATCTGGTTATGAGATCAAAAATAAATGTTTCATTATAACCAAATTCAAATAATTATATAACTTCTTGGTAAAGGCCTAACTAAAAAAAGATGCACATACAAAGATCACGCTGTCCAATAGAATTCGAGATTTCGAACACAGCAACTTGCCTGTAAACCATACACTTCGTACTTCGTACTACGTTTCTGGTATGCAATGATAACAATGTATTAAATAGTAATATGAGAAATTACGTGGAGGGAATTTGACCAAAAATTTCATTTATAATTTTACAAGAATGAATTAGAAATTTGGCGTATGAATCATTGTATAAGCTAACTAAGAATAGAAGGATATTTAGACTATTTGTAAATAAGATTAGTGTTTTTTGATAGTCTTATTGTGCTAAACTAGTTTTATCTCCCCTTCACTCAACAGTATTTCAACCTTCTGATAAAGATACAAATACTGTTTAATGGCTATAAACAGTGCAATGATTACTCAATTAAATAGACATAGGTTTCATGGCTGCAGAGGCGATGCAAAACCTTCTTCTTTTCGCTTTATTAGTATATTAATATATTAATAGTTACAAGAAGTAATAGATCAGAGCTGAGATAAAGATGGCAAAATCCTATCCTGGTATATTATTTCTTTGTTGTTAAATAAAGAATCCTATCAAGCAACAATAATTAAACTAAATTTATTTGTAAACATGTGCATAACCTACGTAACCACATTATTGTCAAGTTAAAACCTGTAAGAACTTTAAGTTTTATGCAGATAAATTGATATTATATAATTAAAGCTCATTTGAAACTTTATATATATGGCTAGAGTATTAATTAAGATCTATAATAAATCTTATCTTTCAACAGTTTCTACCATTTTATTAGATATCAGTTTGGAAATTGATTGAATAAGAACGCCATATGGTGTCTCATGGTAAAGGTCAAAATAATAAAAAATTTGATTAAATAATTTAATCAAATCAGGATTAAATATTATTGTTAATATGTTGATGTGAGTGCGCCCAAAAAATTTAATTGTTACATAAGATTTCTAGCTAACATTCACATGAAATGAAATAATAATCGATGAATTAGGATAGATATGAAATCTATAATAAATTATAAAATAAGAACATGTCATTGCCAAAGAATAATACAACTATAAACAAAATGTTTAGTGATAATTCTTCTAATGAAGAAAATATTGCGACTTCTCCAAGCTCTAATAAAAAATACAAAAAACAAAAAAAAAGTCTGATACACACATATCAAGCTTAGAATTATCTCACTCTGAAGAAACTATTTCTGATAAATGTGATAGTCTGGTTAATAGTGATAACGATAATGCATTTGACAAGCACTATAATCCAGTTAATAGTGATAATGATAATGTGACCAATGAACATAATAACCCAGTTAATGAAGAATCTCATTCAGTCTTACCAGAAAGATCTTATAATGCGTCAAAACTACCAAATTTAAAAGAAATCAAGCTGGTTTCTCTTAAAAAACATTCAGGACGAAGCTGGATTTGGTCATATTATCAACGCTATAAACCTGTGTTACCTTATAAAACAATTGTAAGTTGTTTAGTGAAAGTTTATAATAGTAATAAAGAGGAATTATGTGGACATATTATGGATTCAGTAGATAGTTCAATGGGAAATTATATTGGACACTTAGCAACACGACATGGTATTACAGAAAGTTCTCATAATGAAAAAATAAAAAAAATCAATACCTTCACAACTTCCAATTGACAAAATATTATTCAATAATCCAGAGTATAAGCGGCGTAAGAACCAAAAATTTGTTGAACTTTTAATTAAAGATTAGCAACCAATAAGTATTCGAAATGATGAAGGTCTTAAAGACTTTATCGCAGAATTTGATCAGTCGTACCAATTTCTAAGTGAAAAATATTGTCGACAATTACTTTCTGAAGCATATGAAAACACTAAACAATCTTTATTAAATGTATTTGAAA